CCCCCACCTGCGTGTCCCGGAGCTCCTGCCCCATCTGCTCAGCCTGCCCTTCCTTCCCCGGGTGCTGGGACCCCTTCCCAAATCTCTCGAGTGCCGAAGAGGTGCCTGCCAGCCCCCTACGCCCCGGGGGTGGGCAGACCCCAGTGCTTCACAGGGGCCTTTGTTCCAGTGTGAATAGCGATGCTTCTGGCCTTACCATCTCTCTGCTGTGGCTGCATCCCACCTTACACCTCGACACCACCACATGGGCACACGTGCATGGCTAAAAAGGAGGAGTAGCTCTCTTTCCGTCTTTTTCTCCACTGTTACACGGAGCTTTGGTTCCTTCCCACGGTTCTTAGAAAAGCCAGTGTTGGAGTAGAGAGGATTAGAGTGGTAGAGGGGAGATACGGCCCTTTCTTGCTTTCCCGTGCTAACCCTCATCACTGTACTTAGGGCTGTACAAAAAGCAGCACCGTGCTTCACTGAACCTCCAGCACTGGCCTGGGTACGTCTTGTCTGCTTTCTCCTAAAGATAAGCACTGCTGAAATTCCCTATCTTCTCTGTAAGCCCAGTTAGTGGGAAGCAGCTTTTTCCCTTAAGTACTTAACTATCTCTTTGGCAGCATATCACTATGAGTCCAAATTGAGTGTGAACCTGGAATGTCTTAAGTTGATGCTCTAATAAGAATTGGATCAAATTTCAAGCACCTTTTTTGTAAAGCAGACTGGGAATTTGTTGATCCTAAAAGCAAAACTTGTAATGAATTACATAATGCTGTGCTATTATTTATTAAAAAAAGCAAAACAACAAAAGCCACAAAACTCCTTTTCCCTGAGTGCAGTGTGCTGCAGTTAGCTGCTGTCTCCTTGACAACATTTTTTTTTGCATAGCTGTTTCAAACAGCAGTTTAGTTGAATACACAAAGTTTGGGCTGATGACACTGAGGTAGCAGAGGAAGAAAGGAGATGATGTAGCTCATCCAGATTCTGCCTCTTGGATGGAGAAAGGTGCTGCTTGAAACTACCAGGGGGTTTTGAACACCTTGACTCTGAAGCACCAAAAAAGGTTTTGCACAATGGCTAATGCTTTATACTAACAGAGGTCCACGTGGTTTGGTTATTGACCTAGGGAAGAACCTGGAATCACATGCAGCAGGTTTTGCACATTATTATATTGCATGAGAAAACTTTCCCTCTATAGTATGTAAATAGATAATAGATTACAGACTGGCCTGGTCTGCCAGAATCCCCTGTCATTTAGGCTGTGGATGTGATAATGGCTCTTTCACCAACAGCAACGGTCCCCTCCTGCATTGTCCCAATATCTTGGGAGGCAAACAGCCACAGCCTCTCCCTCTAAAATTGTCAGATGTACCAAATATCAATTTGTTTTTCTCATGACTGCACAATCTTTACCTGTGGTTCTTGGCAGGGGGGTGGGGGGATGTTTGGTGTTGGATGTTTGCTTATGCCTTTGTCACCTACCCTCCAATAAAGTAGAAATTTTGGGATTCAAATACTTACCAGACACAGGCTCTCAGAGAGATCACTTTTCATTTATAGAATGTGTTCAAAGTGTACCTGGGGAGCAAAAACTTCTGAACTTTTACAGTGTCATAAAGTGTTTGCCAGAAATAAGAGATAGTTTATTGACTTGATCGGGTGTCTGACTGAAGTTGTAGTTCAGATGCCTTGAAATGCTTTAGCTGCTGTGAGCTCAGTCCATTAAAAAGAGACTATGAGTTGTTTGAAATACAGTTTCCATGACATAACATCATTTAGTTTGGATATCTGGGATCAAGTCAAAAGCTTTTGGCTTGAGAATGTTAAAGGTGTTTTGTTTTTCCCATTGTAGTATTTTAACGAGTATGCAGCTTCTTGAGGAAAGCCGTGTTTTCTGCTGTCCCACCCCCTAGTCCTTTGCCATCCACCTTCTTCCCCCTCCATTTGAGAGCAAGCAATCTTGAAAAATTGTTTGTCACTACACAAAACAGAAAATAAGAACAGATGTCCATGTGCATCCTCTTAATTTGTTTCTTTTCCAGGTATGCATTTCAGTTGCAGACACAGAACTGTCTTGTACTGCACAGACATGTCTAGAAAAGTATCTGAATTGTTTCCATAGTTTATTATAAAAGTTTTTATAGCCTGTTGGAACAGCATTCTTTTTCATTTCAGTAGTTCAGGGAATTGTTGCATGTGATGGGAATTTGTATTTGAGATATCAAATCTTATTATGATTTAAATGGGTTTTAAAAACTCAGCCTTTATTGTTAAAGCAGTTTAATTACTGTCATTACTTTCATTATTGTCATCTTGCTAAGTAAATCTTAGTCATAAAGTTTCTGTGCAGGTATAGGAAAATTCTCTCATGTTTTGCTGTGTTGGAGTTTTGTGTTAGTGCCATCTCATTTTCTCTAGATGCTACAGAGATACACATGAGTTTGTACAACAAAGGTGAAAATTCTAGTTTTGTAATAAAAGTAAGGAAGACTTGCTTTCATTACCTTTTGTTTGTGTACACTTTAATGAACTTTAATGTTTATATGAAAATTTTTGTTTGCTCTTTAAGTGGCAGAGCTGTAGCCATAAGGCAAATGCTGGTCCAAAGTTCAGGGCAGTAGCCTAAGACCTGGAATTAAACTGGCATTTTCCTCCTGCTGCAGATTCTGGGGGTATTGTTGGCCAAATCACATTTGTGCCCTAATTGTGCATTGGGTTTAATGGTACTATTCATGTTTGTGGGAATGATGCTCACATCCTACAGGACAGAGATACTGAAGGAAAACTGCCTTGTCCTGCCTGACATCCTGCTTGCTTCCCTGTGCTTGGCAGGTGGTGCTGTCACTTGTACTGCATGGACTCTTGCTCAGTAGCATGGGAGAAGAGGAAGGACTGCATCAAACACCATTCCTGGTACGTCACTTTTTGCTTCTTAAATGAAACCCTGACCTGGTGCTCTGTGCAAGAACAGGATGGCAAAAAAATGGCTTTATGATGTAAGATACTAATTGAAAGTAAGTGTTAGAAAAAAATCACTGAATGCTGTGAAAGGTTTATCTTTAAGAATAGATAAATGTTTTTCCTCTGCTTCTAGGTGCCCAAGTGTGTGTGATGTATTCTTTTTTATTCTTATTTTCAAGTTTTCTCCTGTGCTCTGTTCTCTTGGTGTGCCTTAGAAATACCAAATTATAGATATATGAAAACCAGGTTAACATTCAATTGAAGTTTTAATTACTCTGCACAAGAATGTAAGCTGAAATAAAAGAAGCTTCAAACTCTGCACAGTGTTTCATGTTTGATGATGTAATCATACATGATTTGTAAACAGTCCCAAAAGATGTTTCTAGAGGTTGTTTCACATGGGGCAGGAAGGGTATGTTCAGAAATTACTGTACATAGAAGTGTTGGAAAAATTAAATAGGATATCCTCTGATAGGAAGTTTGCAGGAATGTCTGAAAATCTGGAAAAGGAACTATAGAGCAACAATATCAAGTATTTAAAAGGAGTAATGGAAATATGTTTGGTTTCAGGATAAAATTTCAGAAGCAACATCCAAAGTATTTAATACATATCTAATCCATGGATAGCTTTTAAGAAGTTATGAAAAATGACTGCAAGACCAGGTTTATTCTATATTGTAGTCTCTGCACGTTATGATTTCTAAAGAGTTTTGTACCTTCAGTGGAAAGAAATCTTTTAAGAGCTGGCAAAATCCCAATGAAGGTTATTTCATGGATATATACAGCAGTGTTACAAGTGTTGTACAGAGTCAGACCAAGTGTTTATCTGGCTACTGTGCTATCCCCAGGTTTTCACAGTAGATAAGCAAGTAATGTATTTTGAAAGGAACAGTGTTGTTGCCCTTTGGTGGATTTTTAGTGTCTCTGAAAAAGCTGTGAGAGAATTCCTTGAAAATACGTGGAATGTACCGTAGCAACCAGAAAAGCAAGGCAGGGTTTAGGGCTTACCAAAGAAAATTGGAGGTTATATAGAAAGACACTGCAATAGTATTTCCGTTTGATCAGCTTTTAGTTGAAAAACTGTTTTGTTTGGATCACTGCCTTGGAAAAAAGCCCCCAAACAGTGGGCAAACAGGAATTCTAAGGACAGAAGACTTTAAAGGAAAACAAGGAAGATGCTTACATGTAAAGATCAGGTATCACCTTTTATTTGCAGCCCAATTTTTATAAGACTTACAGAAGTGATATATACTGCATTAAAAAAAAATACTTTGTATTCCAAGAGACCACCTGCAATATTTGCATGGGGCACTGTTGTCAAAATTAGTGCAGTTCAGAAGAGCTGAGACTGATACTTGAGAGCTACCCCTTGTGTAATTCAGCAAGTGAATTTAGCTGTGAATACTGAAAAGCCTGCATGCACCCTGTGTATTTTTAATTTTTAGCTGGTGTACCCAAGCTATGAATACAGGAATTTTCCTGTCTTACAGTCAATGGGAAAGGAGTACAGATGCCCATACAGAGGATGACTGGGACTGTCCTTACTGGACTTGCCCAGTTCTTATTGGAATTACTCAGTTCACTTACTCACCTAAGGAAGGGAACCAGAAGGACTGCCTTGGGCACCTCTGCTGAATGTCTCAAGTTACATGGAACAAATCTAGATATTGCTGTCTTTGTAGCCAAATAAGCTAATCTTTTCACATGTGCTGCCCATGGGGTTTTTTTCATGTTACTCTATTAGGCATATTAATGTTCTGGAGGGATCAAATCTTTTAAAGATGATGTGCCAGGTTGTATTTTTATTTCCAAAATCAGAGGTTAAGCATGCCAGTAGAAACTACTGGCAGAGAGGAATGAGGAGAAACTGCCTCTGTAGTAGAGTAGGGGAAATGCAGCAGGTGAGATGTTTGCTTCTGTGCGAGGCAGCAGCTCCTGGCTCCTGGCTGGCATCAAGTGTGGAGCTCAATGGGAGCTTTCTCCAGTGCCATGCCTTGTGGGAGCCAGGAGCTGGGAGCCCCTGCCCTCTGTGATGCCTTGTGGGAGCTCAGAGCCCCTGCNCAAGCCCGTCCTTCCGCCGAGCACGAGGCATCCGCTGCCCGGCCAAGGGAAGGCAGCTCAAGGCAGCAGCTCCGCTCGGGCCTGCTCTCCTGCTCTGAGGCTGGGGCTGCAGCTCAAATCGCTGCCTCCATGTGCTGAGGATGGATCTACACACCTCCGGCCTGGAAAGATCGAGGCCATACCTGCTCCTGTTACACCAGCCCTGCTGCCTCCTGTTTCAAACAAAGAGATCATCCCATTCATATTTTATACAGGCTGCCAGTGCTTTTAAATCCCTTCAGAACTTCCACTCACTTTGGAGATCTTGCTGCATGTCAGTGGTGACTCGGCTTCCCAGGAGAGACCTGCTGAGCTGGTTTGCACCATTGTCCCTGTCACCCATGTTATTCACTCCCTCAGCAGGCAGGCTGCTCTGCAGTGTCTTACTAGGTGCAATGCCTTCCAGTTGTCTAGAAGCTTTGGGTATATGCTCTTGTAAGAAAGGTATTTGTAAAGAATTCTTGAAACCTGATAGAAAGTTCACACAATCTTATACATTTGTAAACACTTAGATAAGGTGTGTTGATTTAGGAAGGCTATAGAATAGAGATTATATTGTTGAGAGATTGAACTACAAACAAGTTTCAACAAGTTTTAAAATATGGTCTCGTAAAAAGACTAGATATTTTAAGGAATTAGAGCTGTGCAAGATGTATTGTAGGAGGACTATGTGGGGAAAAAATATAAGTGATTGGTGTTAGAAGTAATAGTAGCTCTCCTGATGTTAGCAATATTAACACACAAACACCAGAGGTTTATGTCCAAAAAGGAGACAGAGGAGTCCTTTCTGGCTTTATTCAAATAAAGCAAGAGGCCATGGGGCATTCCCCTGGGATCTCTCAAATTTTTGGAGGACACAGTGTCATTTTTAACCTAATTTCCCGGCCACATTTCCCTTCTCTCTTTCCCCATTGGCTGAGGTACTTGAGAGGTACAGACTCCCCGATATGCCTGACACTGAAGATTTCCCAAAGATTTCCCTTTAATGTAAAACCCTCCCTTTTAATTTTTAATTATTACAAAATTTAGGGTTTTTTCTTCCCCATTGTTTCTTTCATCTCTCAATGTCTAATTTCATTTATCAGCAAACCTAAAGTTTATTTGTAAAAGCAAATATCTTTTTCCATTCATCAATCAGTAGAATCCTTCCCATTGTTTCTTTTATTTTCCAGAGCTAGTTTTTATGTACCAGCATACCCACAGCTTGTTTGTAAAGACAAATCTGCTATTCCTCTCACTGACAATCCTGGCCAGTGATTCCCTCACTTTTTCCCTTTTCTTTGTATGCAGTTACTTTCTTCATTTCAGGTAGTTTTGCAGACATCTCTTTCCAGCTCTCTAGTAAATACTTCAGGCTGCATTGTTTTGCAAAGATCTGTCCAGATTCTTCCATTTTGACTTTTGAAGTTTTGTTTCTCACATATGTGAGATGTGAGAGTTGCTTTCTGCTGATAATAATCAAATGAGGAGACATGACTAGTTTCTCAGATTTTTAACGAAGACGGAGAATCTTTCACAATTTTTCTTTCACTGGTTTAGTCAGAAATAGATTATGTAGTTCTTAAGCCATAAGACATCCTCCAGTTTCACTGGAGAGGTTATTGAGGGGAAAAAAAAAACCATAAAAATGTTGTGTAGCTACACAGAAAAAAAAAAAAGAAAAAAGCATCAGGAGAGGGGACTTAAGTACCTTACTCTACATAGATGATGCTATCACTAGAAAGAGCAATGCAAATGAACTCTCCAAGCTGTGCTCCTTCAGGGAACAGCCCCCACACTGCCTCCAAAGGGGCCTCCACGGAGGCTCCAAGGTTCATGCAGGATTTGTTGTGGGAATACCTATTTGAATTCCTGCTGAGCAGGGGCTGCCGGGGGCCGCGGGAGGAGGGTCGGGCCCTGCTGCCGCCAGCTGTGGGAGGCGGTGCCCTGCGGGAGCAGCCGAGGCGCAGGGCCTGGATCTGTCTGCTCCAGGAGTGTGATGGCTCCCGGAGTGACTAAGGCATCGTCGTGACAAACCAGGCACTGCTTTGGGAAAGACTGTGCCCAGAGGGAATGTACTTCTTCCAGATATTTTTCACACTGACCGTCTTTTGTTTCACAAGCAGTTTAGAGATTACCAGGATTACATTTTGGCTGACTGCATGTTGGGGATTACAATGTTAGAAATTAATTGTCTAGGGTTAAGTTTAATTGTAACTTGCTTTCAGTTTAGCATGAGTGAGTCCTGCTCAAAACTTGTGTCAAGGAACTTTAAGTGAACTTTGTCAGCAAGCAGAGCTAAGCAGGGGAGTAAACAGAGAAAGACTGGGTATCTTCAGATAAGAGCTGAGATCCTGAAGGGCCCCAGGATGGGAGATAAGAACAATTATGGCTTGCCCACATGGACATGGAGAAAGAATTCCATGAGGTGTTAGAAGACTCCAGACCATAAACCACCATTGGGCACAGGAAGATCAGGTGCACAGACTGTGGGGATATAAAGGCCCAGGAATTTCTTGGTTTAGGATTCTTCTCCAGAGGCACCACCTCAAGCTGAAAGAAACCAATTCTGGCTCAGAACCCAGGGTCAAAACTCTTCCTTAACATTGCAAAACTTTGGAGGTGATGCAGTTCACAGCTGAGCACCTGGACAGTGTCTTTGCACCTGTGGACAGCAGGAGACCTGGCATGCAGATGTGTTTTAGGTTCTTGCTGGGGTGGCTGGGGTGGAGTACTCAATTCTGAAAGCAGAAACTCCTTGAAGCTTAATGGACACCAGATACCAGTGTGGGAGCTGTGGGTTGTATACAATGACTCAGGAGAGTTTTACCAAACAGCATAAGCTGTAGAGCACATCAGGCTCTTCCACCAGT